ACTCAACGTCTTCCGGGCTACTTAAAATCGTTTGCCCAGAGATTTGTTTCGATTTTCTGATACATTGGGGCCTAGTTAAGCAGTAGAAAGTCAATTTGCGGAATTTTAAGTTATAGCGCATTGTAAAAATTTGCATTATTTTATCCCTATAATTTTGAACGGCAGAAATTGTCAATAGGGCCTATTTTTAACAATACCTTTTTGGCCGCAAAATTATTACAGCTTTCACAAATTTATCGCCTTATAATAAAGAAAGGGTCATAAAAACTATTCGTGTTCTTCAAAGGCTGCCAAATCGTTGTGGTTTGACGTACGAGTCAATGGAATTTGTGTAAAATTTCGCTTTACCGGAAGTGATTTTGAGCTCTGAACGGGCAAAATGAGTTTTCTCGAATTTTAACAAAAGAACACGTTATTTGGGAAAACTAACTACGGCATGTTTCATTACTCATTAAGGGTTATCGATGAGCCAAATATGAGCGAAATCAAATTTTCAACTTGTGCCGACCTTGGGTCGATATTTACGGAAAGCCACTCTTAACACTCCTGGCACCCGCTTACCTCCATACACTATGTGTATCTCATGGCTTACTATTTGCCTGGTCTCTTAAAGGGTATCATCTTGGAGAGCTTTTGGTAAAAAGCGGGATAATTTCCTCACGTAAGGCTCTGAATTTTAGGTTGAAACAATGGAATAGAACACGAAGATTGTGCGACTTTATGGCCCCATCTTCATCGTCTCAGGTATTCCCGGATGAGCGGCATTGACTTTCAAACCCGGGGGGGCACTGCCACATATGGGCTATATAGGTATGTGCCGCTGTGAAGGGTATGGTTTTCAAGCAGTTTACTCTAGGATAGGGTATATAAATCAGAGCGTTTGGGTCTAGAATAGGGTATCATTTTTCAGGAAACTGATCAGTTGGGTGAAGATTTTATCTAGATTAGGGAAACAGCTACTCTAGGATAGAGGGGATTTGGGGAGTTTACTCTAGTATAGGGTAGCAAAATTCAGCTGAAGTAGCTCTAGTATAGGTTAAGGGTTCCGGGGTCCCAGCGGCACATCCCCACCCAGAAATTCCTAAAGTACTCCCCCCCGGGCTTTCAAATAACCTTAGAGTGACTGATATTTTTATTCACCCTTGCTCCAGGAGCAGTACCCGCCGCCTGGTTAGCTCAGTTGGGAGAGCGCCGGTCTGCCGAACGGGAGGTCGCGGGTTCAAACCCCGGCCGGACCAACACTCAGGGTCTTTAAATAACTGAAAAGAAAGTGCTGCCTCTGTAATGATATCTGCAAATGGTTAGACTTTCTAGCCTTCTCGGATAAGGACGAAAAACCGTAGGTCTCGTCTCACAGCACTTTCACTGATTTGTTGTTGTGGGACGTAAGAGAACCCACATCACTATTCGAAAAAAATAGAGGTCGTAGACCCCGGTGGTGTGGCGAGCCGTTGTGGGATTGGGTAGGGATGGCACCTTGCATGGGACTTGAGTCCCGTTCTTGCACATTCCCTCTGGGGAGACCTGTGTCCAGAAAAGCGGGTAAATAAATAAATAAATAAATAAATAAATAAATAACATATGCGTTGCTTAAATGTATTTCAGTATCGTCAGCGTAAAGCATACAATGACATTGCTCCACAGCTGTTTGCAAGCCGTGATAATAAAAAGAAAAAAGGTCCGAGAACAAGGCCTAGTGGTACTCTATATTTTAGGCTCTTAACTCATAAAACAAATTGCTTACAAATTGCTTCTCGAACCAGCGATGCGCTGTCCCTGTTATGCCAGCCATTTCCAACTTGGATAGTAATATTTCAGATCCCTTCCGCAGATAATCATAATAACGCGAATATTTATACAGGATAACTTATCAGTTCCATTAAAAAGAACTGTTATCAAAAGGGTCCTGTAACTAAATAATAGATAAATAAAAAATAAACAATAAAACCAGAAGTTGAAAATAAAATAAAATAACAGTAAGAAATCTAAGATTCAAAAATCAAACTTTGCCAAAACTATTGACTTACAAAATTGAAAAGAGTTGTGAATTATGGAATACTATTGAAAAACTCTTTTAAATTACTCTAAAAAAGAAACCTAGAATTTAAATTTCTTAAATGCCGAGGTAAAGTATTGTGAACTAGAGCTCCTTGAAAGGTAAAACTTCTCGGTCCAAATTCCAATTTGGCTTTGGGAAGTTTTAGCAAACACCCATTGTTTCTAGTGTTAATGTTGTGTTCAATTTTTGTAAAATATCCTTTAAAAGGGGTACAGACGTTATCCTGAAGACAATCAAACACAAGCTGGAAGGACTGACCCTTTATTAAACTCTCCACTGTCTGGACTTGATAATCTCCACCAACAATTTCTGAATTGACGTTCAATGCTTTCAATTCGACTTTTAGAGGAACGTGACCAACAGAGACCCAAGGTTCCACAATACGTAAAAACAGGTTGAATCATTGCTTTGTAGATTTTCTCAGCACTGCTCTTGTCGATTAAAGGTCGGATTCTCCTGAGTAAATTAAATCTTCCAGCTGCTCTTTTATACATTTTGTCAAAATGTGATTCAAGATTTAAGGATGAGTCCAAGTTTACACCCAAGTATTTATAGGATGACGTGAACTAAAATGACAGCCACAGATACACATTTGTTGTCACTTTCTACTTATCAACTGCATGAATCAGAATAACATTACAGGTAGAAAATTTTTTGTTGGCAGAACTACTTTTGACTCCTAAATCTTGCTTGAACAACATATTCCTTGAGCTGAGAGTTGGCGAAGATTTCCAGAACTTTTGAAAGACATGGCAATATGGTCTGTCACAGACGCATTTCCGGCACCCTTGAATAACGATCTAACACGCGCGATCCTCCACGGGGAGGAAAATACTCCAAGACAAAATGAATCATTACATATTCAAGTAAACAATGTTGAGTGCCATGCATTCAGAAGCAATCTTTAAAGCCTTAACAGGAATACCATCCGCACCTGTCGCCTTGCTATTTCCCAGTAATCATAGTGCCTTGTACGCTTGCTCATTTTTTACTGGTGCGAACTCGAACGTCGCCGAGGGAACTGTTTTTGTGTCGACTGATTAGATTATGGGCCTGTTGACATGGAAGTGGGGGACCCCAGGTAGGTGAGGTAACCCGCTTTGGTGGGTAACCCACTTGTCCACATAGTCTATCATTTTGATTTGATCACGTTTACATGATAGGTGGGGTGACCCGTCGCATGTTACCTCACTTATCTGGGATCCCCCACCTCCATGTAAGCAGGCCCTGAGTCGAGACAGGAGACGTGGCCTTGTAGTAGGATTCCGCCTTGACAGTTTACATCACGCTAGTAAAATCACCTAGTAGTAGTAGTCGTGGTAGTGGTAATGGTGGTGGTAGTGGTAGTGGTAGAACCACGACGACAACTTTGTCGACAACGACCGGAAGTGAGTTACAGTGTACTGCGCAAGCGCGAGTAGTAAATTTTGTCGTCGTGGTGTCGTCGACGACGCCAAACAAAGTAGAATCACGTCGTCCTGCAATCCACAAGGTTCGGCGGGTATAAATCCACTGTTTTAAGCGATTTTTGAAGTCCTTTGCATTTTCTTATCCTCGTAAATCCAGGTATCGTTCCTTTTTTCTCCTAACAAGCGATGTTGATTGAAAATTCTACTAATGAATTGTTTTTACTTCGAAGAATGACAACAGCTGTGGAGGCCGAGCGAGCGAACTCGTAAGTGATAAATTTACTTGTGCGTATTTAGGTAAGGCAAATCATATTTCTTTAATATAAAGGAAATAAACTTTATATGGAAAACAGCTATCTTATCAGAATGTCTCTTTTTCCAAATCTAAACTCTGACAGACACTCGGACTCGGTCATCTCATTCAGGTTGAATAATCTTTGTATGGAAAGCAGGTGTTTTTCCCCTCGAAAAGGTCAGACAACACAAAAATTCTTCGTCGTCAATGAAATTAGACGTACGGCTAAAAAATAAGATCTTGCATTGTTTTAAAAGACGCCATTGCGAAAAACGTTCTTGCGAACGAACATCACAGTTTTACATTTGTGCTTACATTTGGTGTCGTCGTCGTCAACTACCGACCGACTGCACCTTAAGTTTTCTTTTTCCCGCCGAAACCGACGTTCTCGTTCCAGTCTTTTCCCAGTCAACAGACGTCGTCGTCGTGAACTTCGTTGTGGTTCTTAAGTTCCCTAGTAGCAGCAGCAGTAGTAGTAATAGTAGTAATAATAATAAACTGCTTTATTTGCATGACCGCATCATTTTACAGTATTGCAAAAGCATGCATATGACAATCAAAATATAGAACAAACAGCACTAATAATAATCTAGGAAAATTCAGTTACATTACTAACAATGAATGTAGTAGTAGTAGTAGTCGTAGTAGTAGTCGTAGTAGTAGTCGTAGTAGTAGTCGTAGTAGTCGTAGTAGTCGTAGTAGCAGCAGCAGCAGTTGCAGTAGTAGTGGTAGTAGTAATAGTTACAGAAAGATATTAGCAAACTATGGATTTTTTTTTCTCCCATATAATAGTCTAACATTTAAAGGAAAAAACTTTGCTGCAGCATGTTTACAAAGAAAGACAGGGTTAATCAAGTTAAGTTTTTAATTTTTTTCCAAAACCGTGCCAGATTGCGTGGTTACTCAGTGCATTGCAAAAGATCTTGGGAACGAAGTTGCACATGTGTTAAATAAACAACAGCAATAACGCCAATAGCCACTGGATGAAATTGGTAATGTTCATTTTTGGTCACATTTTATTAGCGCTATTACAGCTTCAGCATTAACGATTGCCCCTCAGAAAGTTTAACCTGAGTATCAGGCTTTCTTTTCTTGGAAAATTAAGAGGAGTTACGTTCTTACCCTAGCTCTAGCCCTAACACTAATCCTCACTCGCTTCCCCCTCCTTTCCTCCCCCCCCCCCAACCCCCACAAGGAGGGCTTTATACTCAGGTTACAGAAAGTTCAGATCTTTTCACTAATCACCAAAGAACCTTTTGTAGGCATCAATAATCCCTTCTCTCCAGAGATTAAATTTAGAAGGAAGGGTTTTTGCTATGAGGAACTGGATTCCCTTATTGGGTAAGCAACCATTATAATTATTATTTCGCAACATGAACATCTTGCATGCACCAGATGGATTTTCCTCGTCAGGGATGATCAAAGAGAAGTTTCCTCCATTTGTTGCCCTATGAGTTAAAAATCAAACAAACAAAACAAATAAGTTAAGCTAAAACTGCTAGGTTGGAGCAGTTTTTTTAAACTTTGGATTGTCTTAATAGCCCACGTTAGAAATATTAAAATTCTAACATGACTCCCAGGCTTTCTGTTCATTCTTCTATATTTGGTTTAGTTTTCCTTGTGCTCAAGTCTCTTCCAGACTCGTACCCAGTCGCTATTTAAGTGTTTTTTGGGGTGAGAGAAGATTGGGGAGTAGGTCAAGGCGCATGCGGGGTTAACATGCGGGGTTTCCTTCCTCCCTTCCCATGAGACCCCGCGCGCCTCAACCAAATCCCCAATCTTCTCTCACCCCAAAAAACACTTAAATAGCGACTGGGTACGAGTCTGAGTCTCTTCTGGGAATTGCGAGACAATGGAGTCGTGAAAAATTTGCAATTTTGACCCTAAAGCCTCGGAGTCATGTTAGAATTTTGATATATCGAACGAAGGCCATTGATCCCCTCCATCTCTCCAATGATGAAGGGCACGACAAACCAAACCTGAATATTAGTTTCAATAAAAGATTGCCCACCAGTTTGATTTGCACGCAACAGGCCTTTTCCTAGTTTCCTTAAGCCTCTGTTTCAAAGCGAGGCTCAGTGAAGAGATGACTTTTCATTCTCATGCAAATCAAATTCATTTTCACAAGAAAGGTTTTGCACTTAGCCTCGTTCTGAAAATGGCCTAATGATTGACTAAATAATCTTGGCATAAAGTTATTGTGATATATGGCAATAAATAATACTTGTATTCTGGCAAGACAGAATGAGCTAGATCATTCTCTCTTGATTCTGGGTAGAACGTATTTCGTAGAGCGCTCAATTCACAACCTCGTTCCCAGGGCTTTTCCATTACAAAATTTTTAAGGGAAAAGCCCTGGGGACGAGGTTGCTCAATTCATTTAATTTAAGAGCATCGACTATTAATAATCACAGGAGTTCAGGCTTCAGGAGTAATTATCGATCGTTTATTGCGACAGTGCTGTTTGGCATGGTCCGAAATTGTAGGACCACACTTATCAGGCAACTTCAATACTGTATTCTCGGTGTAACAATTTACCCGACTCAAAACGAGATTGAGTTAAACGTTGTTGACCAGTGATTGTGCAAAACCGAAACTTCACTTGCGTTTTTAAACCAATTTTGATGCACTAAAATTCAAAATTGACTTCAAGGCTAAGGAAGATAAGACAAAAGAATCAATCTTGACTTCGGCAATGAATAAAGCAATTGTTTTGTTTTGTTCGATCTCCTAAGCCGAGTTGCCAAGTTTGAATTTCAATCTATCAAAATTGGTCTACCTGGCTGTCGTGTTTTCTGTCTTGGTAACTTTTATTTCTGATTATATTTGTTGCTGATGGTTATTGGTGCTGCTTCTGAAAAAGCTTGCAACACGTATCTTTTGATTTCATGATTTTGCTCTGGAAGATCGCCCGTACTGCGAGATCCACTCTAAACTGCGTTATGCAACTTTTCCATAGTGAGACGGTAAATCTTCAAGCATGCTTTAGAAAGAGTTCAGCGTCTTCTCAGAACGTTAAACATTTGAGCTCAAAAATTAAAGATCTAATTCCGTTCTAATTGTTTTCTAAGAATGGGTCCCATACAAGAGAATGCACACCACACCGGCGACTGAATACAACTCAATCATGCACTTCATAAATCGGCCGTCCTTACCAACCAAGCTAACGAAAGGTACCAGAGGTACTGATATGAGGCAAACTATTTTCCGGTCTTAGAGAGTAACTTTCTACTTCATGTTTCGCAAATACAACTACGTAAGCATTCCTGCCTCTTTTCGTCAGAGACTAAGCGCCGATTTAAACCGATCTCAGTCGAACGTGATTAAAATCTTTTCCAGCATGAAGAGATGGGTCACGCGAGAGGCTTTTACCCATATGTGCTCGTGTTTTCCTCGCTGTAAATCACTTTTGTCTGTGACAAAAATAAGTGTCTACTCTTCTTCGTGGTCTGCATTGGCTTCCCGTTAAAGCCCGGATACAATTTAAGATACTGCTTATTACGTTCAAAGCAATTCACGGCCTTGCTCTTAAATATTTGTGCGATTTACTAACATTTGAATAGTCCTTATATAACCTTAGATCTTCAGGTAGTATTTTACTTTCTATGCCAGCTGTTCGATTGAAGACGTTAGGTGATAGAGCTTTTATGGTAGCAGCACCAACGCTCTTGAACTCTGTTCCAAAAGAACTTCGTGCGATTACTAATGTGAACAGTTTTAAGGCGCATATTAAGACTTATATTTTTAGAACCTTATATTGGTGAGCAATTTTATATTCAGTTCTTACTTGCATGCATATATATTCTTTTTATTGTTTTTTTTTTAATGCATTATCTTTTTTATTTGTTTCTTGTAAAGTAAAGCATTTATAATGCGTAGCTGATCATTCTCATGTTAAGCTGCGCACAATAAGCACAATAAGTTCATGAATTATTATTATTATTACCTGACAAATCCGTCAGCGCCTGGAGGTTTTGAATGGTGCCACGCATTTTTCTGAAGCAGAAGGAACGCTTTTTTGCCATACCAATCAACTTCTTTACTGGGTGGAATGAAAACGAGGTAGGCTCGATTAGTAAGAGGCCAGGAAAGCTCGACTACGGAGTAGAATAAGCTTCCACCTCCTTCTTGTTCGATATAGTTTTCAACGAGTTCGTTAACCGGGAAAGCTGCATTCCATTCTTTTTGGTACTTCACATTGGCAGGGGCAAGGATTTCTACCACTTTCTCTGCTGGCACCGGAATTTCCATCGTGAAGAGGGCTTTTATCGGCACTTCCATATCTGGGAATGTTTTGAACCAGAACTTAGAGACTCCTGGGGTGTGGAGACCTTCACTCCATCCACCTTCAAGAAAAAAAAATACGTTTAGTGTAAAAACGATTAACCTTTATTCTTACCATTATGTTTTAGAGAAAGGATTTAGCAAACTATGGATTTTTATTGAAGGTGAGGAAAGTCAAGTTTTTAGCTCAAAGCGTTTCCTTTTTTAGCTTTTTTAAATCGTGATTGCGTGAATACTAGCTGCGGACTGCAAAAGATAGCTAAAGATCTTGACGTCACAACGTACACGCGCACACACCTCTCTGCCAATCAGAGCACTGTCAGACTGATTTGGGTATTCCCGTGTCTAAGGTATGACTCAGGTAACCCCATTCCCAAATCACTAGTATGATATCGGTATCCATCTCCTGCGCACGCATTATCCCGCCTTGGATGAGGAGAACAGAAGACAATCAGTAGATAGCAATTTTAATTTTCGCGCGTTTTGATTGGCTCCCGTAACTCGTATGTAGTATCCTTTTAAAAGGGGAGTCAATATGCTGTCCTGTTTCGCGACCGGATGACGACGACATTTTTACAGCTTATTACAGCGAGGAATGCCACCTTTGTGATACACGTATCAAGGAAAAAGAGTGGAAAACGTCAGTACCGAGTTGGTTTCCTGTATTTTATGGGCAGAGTTCTTGCTTTACGTTTTTTCCTCTCCAGTTAGTGTTAGTTTTATCCCCTAAGTGCTATTTTAAGTTTTATTTTGTTCCAATTTGATTCATCATTTCATAGTCATGAATAATACATTTGATTTACGCGTCTAACATTTTTTAAAATCTTGGAAATGTAATTGAAGATGTCCATGTAAGATAAGTGGAAAGGATCTCGAAACTTTAAATTACTGATTTCGTTTATTTTGCACCTTTCAATTCTCCGATTTCAGTTTTTATTTCAAGAATTACTTGGGAATCATTTTAGGGGCAGCACGGAAAAAACAGGAAACACCTCGGTGTGAGGGTTATTTGCGGGTCGATTTCGGTGATCATTTTAGGGATGTAGATCATTTCCGGGCCTCTACTCTACAGAAGTCTGCTTCGAAATTCTTCTGCTATTTTTATGAACACTGTTCTCCACTTTTGTTTTCAACGTGCTTCTTGTTTCCCGGCGAAGAATCGTTCTGTATTTTTCTTGCCTTTACTTAACAAAAACGTACAATCGACATGCAGGATATAGCGTGCAAGAAGCAAATCAAAGGCACCTTTCTCACTTGGTGCTCGGGAACGGTGCCCTTTTCAGTCAAGTACCCACTCTAGAACTTAGGCACAAAAGTGGACACCGGGTCCCTGTGTGCACACCGTTTTTGTTAGTTCTGGGGAAGTCTTGCACTGCTTTGTACACACTGCTAAGCTCATGTTTCAAAATGGCCTTAAACAGGGTGTAATGGAGTAGCTGGAGTACTCAAGGTGCGAACACTACACTATTTTTTGCCTAGCCTGCGTAGCTGGCGGTATTGTGTGGGTGCGAGATTAAAGTTTTGGCGGCGGAGCCGTGTTCCAAAAAAAGGGAGTAGGGACGAGGCGGTTGAAATTCTCGCCGCTTCGTCGCTCGTGACGGCTCCGCCGTCAAATCTCACTCGACTATATTACAACGGCTCCGCCGCCAAATCTCACTCGACTACTACACAATACCGCCAGCTACGCAGGCTATTTTTTGCCGTTACCCAGGCACTGGTTCCCGCACAAGTGTGGACTGCCCTAAAGAAAGCCGAATCAATTTTGTTTTGCTTTTTTTCAAACTCTTTGTTCGACAGATTTTCCTTATTTTGTTCTTCTATCACTTTCGCTTACCTTTCTCAAGGTCTTCCTTAAACCATTTGGCTCTTTGCAGCTCTTCCTCGTATGAGATCTCTCTGAAGTCTTCTTTCTCCATTCCCGCCTCTCAGGAACAGTATCTGTTGCGGCAAACAAAGCAAGCGAATGCCGTTTTTATGCTGCTAGAGACGTTAAACTCGTCTTAGGACGACTTTGACGTCTAGTATATGAACGGTTAGTCTGCTACACAGCCGTTTTTAGAGTCGTCACGCAATGGAGGAGGAGGAGGAGCGTTACGTGACGACACTAAAAACGGCTGTGTAGCAGACTAAAGAGCGGTAAGTAAGACAGACGCATTTAACTTCTGACGACTTAAACGCCTTCTTTTAATTAAAGTGCGTCGTTCAGACGCACTTAACAGACCACTTTAACGTCCCAGACGTTAAATGCGTCTAGTATAAAAGCGGGACGCCATCAACTGGGACGCATTTCGGCCCAACTCGTCCAGAGGCGACTGGGTAGAGCAAGAGTTGTTTATTTTTTTTTTCACAATGAATGTTATCATTTACTTTTATGCTTGCCGTTTTGGTACCAGTCGACTTAAATGTCTCAACTTTAAATACGTCTGGACGACTATAAAAAAACCGGGCCAGTACTAAAGTAAACTAAGGACACGCCTGTGAGAACTCATGCGAAAAAATGCTGCATTAAGGTGGCTCGATAAAGTTTTTTCAGGGTCAATACCTCCCAAGTTTAAGCATAAACTATGTCGCTATAAACAAAGAATTGGAAAAATTGCCACCACAGTCGCATTAGATAAAGGTGAAGATTTATTACGATAGGGTTGCAATGAAATGGCAACGAAATGACGCCATTACCTATTTTAGTTGCAGCGGTATTTCTCGGCACTGGATCCGTTGTTCCAAGATCTTTCACGAGAGCTTTTTCCTTCAATAGCCGCCTCGATGTTAGTGAAGTTTAAGCGAAATCTGTTATAGCGTTATCCATCCTCGGAGACCCAGGGGCAGATAGTGGGGGCGAGGGAAAGTCTAAACGGTTGGAAAAATATAGCACGAAGAAAAGTAAAGAACGGCGAGAAGAGCCCCTGGGGACAATGTCTTACCAGACCACTTCTAAACGGTCACCGCCGTTCTCGCTTCTGATTGGTGCCAGAGAACGTTTGTGTTTTTCTGCCCAATCAGAAGCCAGAACGGCGGCGACCGTTTAGAACTGGTCTGGTAAGACATTGTCCTCAGGGGCTCTTCTCGCCGTTCTTTACTTTTCTTCGTGCTATATTTTTCCGCCCGTTTAGACTTTCCCTCGCCCCTACTATCTGCCCCTGGGTCTCCGAGGATGAGCGTTATCAAGATAGAAATAAAAAATAGGTAATGGCGTCATTTCGTTGCTATGACAACTCCGATGTCATTGCAACCTTGATCAAAGTGATCCTAACAAATTTTTATCTTTATCTAATGCAACTGTGGTGGCAATTTTTCCAAATCTTTGTTTATGGCCACATAGTTCAGCGCAAATGGCTGAGATATTGACCCTAAAAAACTTTTGCGAGCCACCTTAAGAGATAGATAGATAGATAGATAGATAGATAGATAGATAGATAGATAGATAGATAGATAGTTTATTAAAACTGCATCGCAGCCAAAGGCTGAATTACGCAATTATTTTACAAAGACTTTACAATACTTGAAAATCACAAATGAATCCTAGATAGTAAGTCGAAAACTGATTTTTAAGATAATATTAAAAATTCCATATAACATGTTCATACTGAAATATGTTAAAATATAAAGCATGAATATAAGTGGGCTCCTGAAGTGGGCAGCAGCCCTGAAGTGGGATAAAACTACAGCCCGGACTGATTCGACATCGCATATATAAAAGTATTACTTGTTCTGTTCGTGCAAAGTTTTGGCATATTAAAAAGGCGCTGTCGTCTTAGGTTATAGCGTGAGTTGTCATAGTCTGGTGGAAGGAGTGCCTTCAATTTATGGTTTGGATCACGTAAGGGTTATCGGCCTGAAGCGAGGGGTTATGTGATTTATTTCCCTCGTGCGTTGCCCGAGGGCGACGCACGAGGGGAATAAATCACATAACCACGAGCTGAAGGGCGATAAACGGCTTATTTATACATTGGCGAGGATTTCTCAAGGGATGCAAAAATGCTTTGACGAAAAACTGTCTCTATTGTTCATTTTTCTTTTGTTTTTTAACACTCCATGCTGGCACTGGTGGCATTCCGGCACAAGTTTCTCGGCTTTTTAATTGTAGGTTTAGTTTTTCAAAGTCGCATTTCGAATTAGTTGTTCGTAGTGATTGCTAGAAATAGCCTAAAGAGCCTAGCATTGTCGAACGATTCAGATCTATCAGAAGTAGAGCCGTTTATTACTCAAACTAAAGCAGCTTTAATGGCGGTACTGCAATTGAGCTTTCTCAAAACGATTTTGAAACTTCATTTGCGGGTGCAGACAACGAGCAAGCAGTTGACAATTTCAATTTTCGCACCAAGGATCTTTCGACCCACCTGCATGTTTACAGATAAAGAAGATTCCGGGCGATGGTTCACTACTGTAACTGCGAAGGAAATTCAGTCGAGGAATGAAGCAAGAATACCACAAAACACAAGAGGTCAACTACATGTCTTCATTGCGTACAGGAGTTTGGGATGACTGGTTAAAGAACGGAACACCTTAACATGATAGCGACACTTTCGTGGAACCGTAGAATTTTCAAGACGCTGTTCAATTTCGGACTGTCGTTCTGGCTGTGGAAATCGATGAACCAGCAACTAAGAAAATTCGTGAATGTGGCGCAAAAGAAACGCAGCTCAGTTTAGTTTTAGTAATTATAGCGTCGTGTTTAATATCTCCAATAACCATTTGTGAATTTTTTCTTTATGAAAATCTGATTGAAATGCGAGGGGATTATCTATTAATATTCAAGGGGAATAAGTCACTTATCCCCCTTGCATATTAATATATAATCCCCTCGCATTTTAATTAGCTGTTCATTAGCCCCGCTCTTCCCTTCAAACAATCAAAGCCACACCCAGCTTTTCAGACAGTTGATTCGGGGGTTATGTAATATATTCCCCCCGAAAAGAACAAAGGAATCCGAGCTTATGTAAAAATAATACGTAATAATGCTCCAAAATGGTTGTTAACCCCACCTCTATTGCCGAGTTGCACTTTCCTGAGGTTATTATTGATATTGCTCTTTTCTCGAGCCGTACCAGCTCTTTCTTTAAGTACGAGGGGAGACCGTTGAAAAAGACAGGTGCTGCATAATCAATAACAGATCTCACGCACGATACGTAGAACAGTGCTAGATCTTGTTTCGGAACTCCCGCTCTCTTTAACTGAGTCAGGAAATAGGGTCTCTTGCTAGCCTTTTTGGTTATTTCAGTTACATGGTCGTTCCATGTTAGATCGTTCGCTATTGTAAGGCCTCGTAGCTTTGTACTAGTGACTAACTCTACCTCCTTTCCTTCTATGATGACGGGATCAAAGACTCTTTGCTCTTTAGGAAAGGAGATCCTGAGTTCTTTGGCGTTTAGTTGGACCCCGTTCTCGCGAGAGCACTCAATTACTCTGTTAATATAACTATACACGTACAAAATTCGCATCTTGTGCTATTCTACGATCTTTTAGTCTTATTTTTTCTCACCTAGAAGTACAATAAGTTTAGTTTTTTAAACCATAGTCCGTAGTACCCACTTACAACCTAGGCAAGGGGTTTTTTTCCGGTCTTTATACCTAGTCTGTACTTTCAGGAATCCAGTTCTAGGTTTATACCCGAATGCAGGGTAAATTGTATGAGTTGCCATATCCCTTCATTTTCAAAACAAATCTCATCGAAATAGAATATAGCCCCTACGGTTAAGAACTTACCAGCCTTTTGTGCCGTAGTTTCCCTTCAGTTCTGATTAGAAGGCCGCCAATTTGAGAGCTGCAAACTGCGCTAGGAAACGCCCAATTCACTCTTTTCGCCGAGGCCAATATGTATGCTGTTTAAGCCAAAAATTTGCATAACCAGTTCGGAATATCCCTAAATTTAAGGACAGGGCCAACTGGCCACGCGACACTTTTCAACCAATAAGAAGGCGCGCTTGTGTTTATCAAAATCAAGATGTTGATCAAAAATTTTCACAACAGCGGACGGAATCAGTCATCGTTTTTTATTTTTATTTTTTTTTTGCCACTTGTCCATACTAACGGCCTCACAAGTTATACCTTTTACGCTACAGGTGAAACACGCTCCATCACTTCACACATTACTTGTAACACTAAAAATGTGATCTACATGGTTCAATGTAACCGTTGTAATTTACAATATATAGGTGAAACTAAGCGCTACGTCTCAAGGACAGATTTAACGAACACAGACGTGCAGTCGACAAAACTAACTTTAAATCTCCACCCACTACTGTTTCTGAACACTTTCTCTCTCATTCTAACCATTCTCATACTGACATGCAGTTAATCCCACTGGAGAAAATTTATTCTTCACGTGACTCAGTTCGCAAGGCCAGGGAGTCGCATTTGATAGATAAGGCCATGACTCTTGAACCTCATGGCCTAAACCGCCGTGACGAATTATTGTAATCCATATCCTTAGTATTTTTCCTTTCCAGTTTTTATGTTGTACGCCATTCCACCTCTCCCTTTTATTGCGACATTCTCCATCTATATAGTATTGTGATTGCTACATAAGTTCAGTAACATCTGTAAACGTGAAGAAGGCTGGTATGGCCAGCCGAAATATTGTTATAAAAAACATTACACGTTGTTTTAAATCGGCTTTGCAGTAGTCTTTGGACTTCTCGTTCTTGGTTTCTATATTTTTAAAACTTTTCATGAGGCCTACAGAATTTTTTTAAGTGGACAGCGTATCGAAAACCATATTGGAAGTGTCTCGTGAAATATTCAGGACATTTTGTGGCTTATTTCTTCTTTTGAACAACGCAATGTATAGGCGAGATTTTGGTCGGTTTTCAAGGTGACTGATGAAATACCAGGATTTTTCCTTTTACTAAAAAATCATATCTTCTTTGCGCGCAGTGAAGATACTATTCTCATCTTTCACGTGCGAGAATATTGGTGT